CACAAAGCGACAGTGTGAGGCCGGCAGCTTTTGTGTGGCTGCATGGCGATTGTGCTGATGGGTGTTGGAAGTGTAGTCCAACTTTCTGGGAGAAGCTCCCTACCACTACAGAAATGAAACAGTGTGGAAGCATACTGCGTACACTGACCCTGTGTATTAAAAGTTCACGAGGGCTTGAATATATGCAACATGAGACCCTCATGGTTTTTACGCAGAAGACACATGGCATTTATTCTTAGAGTTAGGAAGAACTAATTTTCTTGTGTGGTTCTGTCTCTAGGCAGGATGCTGACTTCCAGTCAGTAATTGTGATATTAAAAAAAAAAATAGTTCTAATAAGAAAATAATTGTTAAGTTTATTTAATAATAAATTAAGAAATAATAGTTTATTTAATAATAAATTAAGAAATAATAGATATAATAACAACGGAGATGTAGTCTTTTTTTTTTTCCAATAGGAGAGCAATGCTTGTGCTTCATTTTGACTTTATACATCCAAGGATGTTGCAGAGTTTATTCCATATGTTCTCAGTCCTGAGCTTTTTTCTAATGTAATGTAATTAATTTCAGCATCTTCCATGGCTTGTCTACTCTTCTGTCATTCCCCAACCCCTTTTCTCAGTATGGCAGAATTATGTTAAATAACCATGAAATAATATTTCTTATGTCTGAATAATGCAGTGCAGTAAAGTATAAGCTCATATTAGAAAACTAAATTGTATCCATGTTTCTGAGAAAGCATTTTAAATTAGCCTGCACATTTTTTCTTAAGATGTGACAAAAGTATTGTAAATGCCCCGCCCTCTTGTTTGTTGTAAGCAGGGGTGTGTTTGTCAGTGCCTGAATAATATAAAAATAACAGCATAAACATATTCTTGTAATGAATGCATTCTACTTCAGTATTTCATTTTAATTGCTAAGATGGCAGAGCTGACCATCTATCCACTGGAAGTCAGGTGCATGTCAGGTGTCAGAGGCTGGGACACTGGCAAGTGAAGGCACATACATTTCATTAGTCACATATATAAAGGTTGGCCTAATTTTTAGGCAGAGCTTCCTCCTATCTTTTCCAGATTGTGCAGTGCTTTGCAGTAGTGGGTAAGCAGCATCTTTTCAGTATGCATAAACAGTTGCTGGCAAGAGTAAGAGGCCTAATCCAGACAGTTAAAACTTCCATGGTGTAGTTTCTTACATGTCAGTATTAGTGCTATTAGCGTCCTGGATTCTTTTACCCATAATAATAACACCACACCATGGAGCCTCTCATACCTCTTCATTGCTAAAATCCTGTCAAAGCAGGTAATTACTGAGCAATATAAGTGATGTAGGCACTTCACAGTATACATGAACCTCATTTTAAAGGTTGTTTTATTTTACAGATCTCTCTATTACACTTGATACCTTTGCTGGCCCTTTCAGAAAAGAGGCCAAGATAAGGACACCTTGCATGTAATGTAGTTTTTTACAGCTGTACAAAATGGATATACAATGCTCCTAAGTAGAACAATTGTGTTTTGTGTCTGCTTCATACAGTTACAAATGGCTTGTGAGATAGTTGCAAGGCAGGCCACCTATTAGGTCCGTAGAAGCACAAGGATTTTTTCACCCTCTAAGAGAGATGAGTAAGCTGAGGTATGCTAGTATGTTCAGAAAACAGAATGTTTGCATTTCCACTGCCTTTGATTTATTCTGTCCATAGTGAAAGAGAGAACTGTATTTTCTTGGGTTGTCAATACAGGACCTTTTGCCACCACTGAAGTCATGAAGAGGAGAGAGGGAGAGGATACTAAATATTTCTGGGTTTCTATTTTTCTGTATATGATTTCAAGCAAATTAATCTCTTTTTATGTCCACTTGGAGATATTTCTGGCTTTCATCAGCCACTGTTATCAAGAGTTTTGAGGTGTTAGCAAGTGTCTCTGAGGAATTTTTCAAGGGACAGCAAGACAGCAAATGCTGAAATTTTTTTAGTTCCTTGCTGATTAGTATTTTAGAACTCCATCCACACAACTTGCATTTCTAGATTTTTCTGCAAAAACTTGTGTCATCAGATGGGACTTTTCTGTCACTTGTGTGTAACTGGTATTAGTTTTTGAGCCTACCTTGTGGCAGGCTCACGTAGGCTGCTGTGCCCAGCCAGCCTGCACTAAAGTCAGTGCAGTTCAGCTCAGATAAAGCATTTGCTCTGTTGCCTGCACAGTGGGATTTGGGGCTTCCAAGTTGCACGTCCATGGAATTTGTGTGAGTTCATCTGGGCTTGCCTGCTTTGCACTCAACTGGCAGCAGAGTATCTCCCTCTCAACTGCATGTCCCCTCCTAATTAACCCATGGCACAACATGAAAGACGTGTCTGTGGTCTGTCAAGAGAGAAAAAAATATTTCCATTCACTTTGTTCTTATTTAAGGATAACAGGGAAAAATAGTAGCACTGATATAAATAATAGTAATTTATACTATATATATAAATATATATATTTAACTCCCCTCCTTTGTGGCCTGCCATGTAGCTCAGTAGTGTTGGAGAGGGGACCGAGTTGGATCCTTAATTACCACCTTCTCTTCTTCTCCTGCCCGGGGCAGAATCTACCTGCTGCTGTGGAACTGACCTGTCCCCTGGTAGCTCTTCCAGGCTGAGGTAGACGTGTGTTCCATGGCCAGTGTACATTTATTCCCACAATAAAAAGGAAGCTTGGGCTAGCCAGCTGCAGCCTGGGCCTGCAGGCCGTGGATCCCTCTGAGCTGCTGCCATGGCTGACTACAAGTGACGGTTGTCATGTGAGCAGGGAAGGGAAGGGAGGCCATAAGGCAACTCTGGGAGCATATGCTTTATCTGCGTTCAGCTTTGCACACAGCCTGGGCAGAAGCATGGCGAAGAAAGGGTGAGGCAGATGCAGCCTTATGGAGCATGTCCCACCTCTGTTGCTTTTTTCTTGTGGCCTATGCCCACCCACAGTCCATGGAATAGCATGGCATCCTCCAGGTTAAAAAACACTGGAGCAGGACAATGCATTAGTGGACCTATTTTCCTCCCCAATGCACTTGTATAACATGGTAACATTAATAGCAATTTATGTGCAAGCAGTGAAGGGAGGAGGCATTTTAGCTGAACTAAAGCTGCAGAATATTCACTGCAGAGCAGGAACAGAGGCACAGGATCAGTGCAGGACAGCCATTCTTCAAGAAGCACACTTCTAGGAAGTCTATTGTTCCCACCTCAGCTCCACTTTCAGTTTCTTGAGAACTCAACAGAAGTTTGTTGAAGTCAAAGAAAGGGCCAACTTGTTCTGTTGGTTTCTCTGTAGGAGGACAGTTATACTCTGACTATATTTCTTTGTTCCTATTCCTTACCTCTGTTCTTTCACAACATTAAAATAATCAGGGTACTTTCTTCGTAGTTTTGAGATGCTGCTTCTGAGTGTTGTTTTTCTATACTAGTGCATCTAGTTATCTAATTCCCACTGTCTCCTACCAAGTGGTTTGCTTGGGTTTTTTTTTAATGCCTCTTTTTACTGGAGGAGCATTAGTAACTGCAACCCTTTAACAGAACCAGAGACTAAGAGCATTAGATCCTACAAGCAACCTCTGGCCTAAGCTGCTACCACTTTCATTTGACAAATTAAACACAAGAGTAGGAGGGGGAACAGACAGGTGAATGACCTGCTTTGGAAGCAGCAAAGTCAAAAATCAAATCTGAGCTTCTAAATTCCAGTGCATTGTTCCATCCATTTCTTTGTCTGCTGCTCTGAGATTTCTTTCATAGTGCCTCCCTTTATTAGAAAAATATAACTGCAACTTGAGGAACTATTTACCATTTTTTCCTGTTTCAGAAGGAATGAATAATAGGCTAGCCAGAACATCCACATCCATTTGAGTCTATCATCTCTGTAAAAACCTCCATCTGACCCTGGAAGACATATATATGTTAAGGTAATATATATTAGCTAACCATTTTAGTGTACATGAAGTATACAATGTCGAGAATAGTGAAGCAATTGTCTGCTAATTGCTAAACTCAGTAGATTATTCTTGTCTTTATACAAGTATACTGCAGTACCCAAAATATGTAAATCAGGCCAGACCTGTCTGCCTGATGTTGTGTAGCCTTTTGAGTTAGTCTAGTGCAAGCAAGTCAGTTTCCATTGCCAATGACATACGAAAGCAGTGGGTCTGTTATTCACACCCAGTAACTAGGGATTCCTTCCCTGTTAAAAGTGTGGCCAAGGCATAGCAGCTTTCCCACAACACCACACTTCCAATTTCTACAATTCTGCTTTAATCCTCATGTAAACTGCAATAATATTTAACTGCTTTGAGCATAAAATGTAATTGGAACTCATCTTTCAGTTTTAGATTGTTTGCCCCTTATTACAGTGTAGTGCCATCAAGTAGGTTTTTTCCTCTTCCACCCAAGGGTCTCTTTTTCATATTTCTGCTTCTGGTCTTATTCAAATATTCTTTATTTTTTTTGCTTATTATTCCTTTTCTAAAAATGTTCACGGTGTTTTAAAGAAACTACAGCTTGGTTCTAGTGTCTTTCTTCAACCTCCAGAGCACCACCAGAGACCTCAACGCTTCCTCCCAAATATGTATTTACTTCTATCTAGAAGAATGAGCACAATCAAAGAGCAAAAAGTTCTCAGCCTGGTAGCACCACTGCTTAGCTGAAGAGGATGTTGTTGAGTCTGTGCTTGACAAGTGCCAAGTGCCTCAGTGACTCAAGTGAATGAGCAGCACCCATTGGGTCCGAGCATGAATCCTTGCAGCCTGGTGAGCTTCCCAGATGCATGTCTCACTGCCCCACTGCCACGCCTGGAGTTATGTTCATTCTGAAACCACAGCATGCTTTTTTGGCCACACAGTGTTGCTACCATTTGTAAAGTAAACAAAGCAAGTGACCATCTGACCCTGAATAACAAGAGCATGCATTAGTCATTGTACTACTCAAAGACAAGGTATTTGACTCTTTTTATATCTAGGGAAATACAGAGCACTGCAGGTGTAGCATTATGGATCTTGTTCATCTCTGCAAGAGAGAGGAAAGAGGCAGAGATCAGAATTTTATTCCTTCAGGTGGTGGCTATGTGACACAGTGAAGACAGTGGACGCTGTGAAGAAGTCCTGGCTCAGCTCCTGTCAAAGAGAAAAAAGCACCCAATCCAGTGGAATACAAAGATAGGGAACCACATCTGGTGTTTCCTTTTAGAAGCATTGCTTTTGGAATTAAAATTTTCAGCTTTAAAGAAAGATGTTGGGTGGGGAGCGAAACTGGATGGATCTTGAGGCCTTCTAGAGAAAAAAAAGGAAGGAATAAAAATTCTTGTCTTGGACTAGTGACACCTACTATAAATATTCTTACAGGATCAAGGCTGTGCCCTGCTTCAGTGCATCCAGGTGAGAGGCCTCGTGAGAGGAAATTAAATCAGAACATTGCATTGTTTCTGTCCCACTAGGTTCAAACGGAGAAGAAGGTGAAACTTTAGAAGGGCACTTTCTCCTGCTCCTCCCTGTTCCAACATGAGAATTGTTGGCAGACCAGCCGGTAAGAACTAGCTCTTTTGGAAATATACGGTGTGCCTTCCTGTGTGCCTTCTTAATGGGGCTTTTTCCTGAAGTCAGCAGGTTCCTGTGGCTTTCTCCAGTGCCAGGTGCAGCAGCAAGGAAGATATACTTTACTCTAGAAAGCAGGCAAATTCCACACTGTCTTTCTGTCAGCCCTACTTGGTTTAGCCCTCCAACACTGGTGGTGGGTGTGCATTTCCCCTGTTCTGATTGTCTGCAGCTCTAGCTTAAATGCTTTTTTGTGTTGAAATCTCTGTAACACTAAGAAGTTAAATCCTTCACTGATTGTAATGCTGTGTCTCCTTACAATTTTGTAAATGTAAGTGGAGCTGATTCATATTTTAAGTTTTAACTCCATCTGCAAAAAACCAGTTTGATAGTACTACGCCATGTCTCTTCAAATTATGAGTTTCATAAGTTACTGGTTTGGAGGGGTTATATTTATGTCTGTGAAGGGAAGGGGAATTAAAAGTGCCTATATCTGCATGCAAAAGTTTAAATTTTCAAATGTTTTCAAATTTAGGCATTTTCATGTTTCATATTTAAAAAAAAGTCCTTAAAAATTCTCCAACCAGAAACATAGCATTTTCACAGCCTTCAATGTCAATTTTCAACAAAAAAATTTGAAAAATAATCAGTCCAGGTTATCAGGAGTGATCTGTTGTCTTCTTTTTTTTTCTTTTTTTAACTTCCAGCACTTTGAAAAATCCATGGTTTTTGTTGCCATGTCTGCATTTTTTCAAACTGAAAATTTGAAAATTTGTCTAGTGAAAGGCACGCAGAGATCTATGGTGAGATTTATGGTCTGTGATGAACTGGGCGATCATAAAGAAACCTTAAATCTGTGCCTCTATTGAAGTCCTACTGAGAAGAACTCAAGTCTTGCATGCTCAGCAGTGTTTAGATTAATAATTTTTCCCCTTCATTCTTAAATTTTCAGATGACTGTTGCTTCCACTTTTTCTACACATATTAAAACCTTATTTTTAAAAGTTCTAGAGCTCCTTACTTTAAAAGCTAGGTCCCAGGTAAAGGGGGATTTATATATCTTCTGTTGACTTTGAGGGAACTGTTCATGCATATGAGCTTAAGCCTCTGCATGATCTTCATTCTTCCAAAAAGACCTGCCCAGAAACAAGTGACTTTGGCCTCAAAGGTCTGTCACTTCTTCATCTTTGTTGTGAAGATAGAGCTTTGTGTTGCGACCCAATTCTTGCTTCAAAACTGTACGGTTGGTGAGCAAAATCCTGACTGTGATAGAGCTCATTCACTACTGCAGAACCTTCTGCTATCATGAGTTTGTAAATACTTGCCAGGATCTCTTATTTTGCAATACAGATGGCAACAGCTAAACAGAAGACCTGGTCTGAGATTTCTCATTCAGCCAGTGTTACATACCACATTTTTGTTAATGGAAAGAATTGAGGGATTTAGTTTGTGTAACGTTTGATTATATAGCTTTAAGTTTATTATCATTTTTCTCATTGTGCTTCTGAGTGCTTGTATGCAGTGCTCTCTTTGCCTTCACTATTTCATGAATAAGCCTGAAAAAAGATGCTGAATTGTCCACAGAGGTGAAGCTTTTCCTGGCTGCCCCCAGAAACTCAAAGACAAAGTAGCAATGCTGTGTGAACCCATTCTAAGAAGGCTGCTGTACTAAACCCTGAAAAAGTTCTTGGAAAGGATCACATTCATGTCAATCAATGCAGGACAGTCCTCGAACTCTGCTCTTCTGCTGGTATTGGTATAATTTAGATCTCAGCATCTTTGTATCCTCACATGCAGGTGTAACAGGCATGTGTAGATGAGTGGAGCAGAAGCTGTGACCATGCACCCTCTTCTGTTTCCTTGCCTTACCACACAGAGTGTTAACTGCTGTGGGAAGTGTTAGTTCCTTAAGGAAAAATCCTCCTTGTATTTTACATCATACTTGACAGGAACCCCTGCACCTTACAATTTCAAATGAATACATTTCATTAGAAATTTTTCTTATTTCTTATGCAACATGTGCCAAGCAGAATGTTTATCTTCATTGAATTGTTTGAATTTGCTATCAAAATAAGTAAATAAAAACATTAAGTGTAAATGACATTTCCCTATGGACATTCTCATAAAAACAAACAAACAAACAAACAAATGTGCAAACAAACAAAAAGCAAATAAAACCCAAGCAGCTGTCTGGCAAGAGGAAAATTGTATGGGTAAAAATATCTGCTTGCTTGATTCCACATGCAGCTGTTTTTCAGGGAATGGAAATGCTTCATTGTGGAGGCCTCTAACCTCATACAGGCAGAACCTGATTACGTGAGGCTGGATTGTGGAGCTGTAATATGTGTTGGCAAGCACTTTCTCAGCAGGTACAATGACATAAGTAAGTGCCCACCAGCACAGAAAAGGTCCTCGCAGTTCCACCTGCCTGTTGATATACTTACAGAGTGAATACTGGATTGAACTCCATTGTACACACAAGTTAACTAGCAGAAAGAGCTAAATACATGGAAATGGACTAAGCATGCAGGCCTGAATACAGATTATTGCCAGGTGTAAATTCAGTTACACAAAACATACATTCTTCCAGCACGTTTGTCGGGTTCATCCCATGCACACAGGGCTGAACATGACCAAAATAAAACAGTTTTTTGTAATTTTACGACTTTCTAAATAGGAAAAAACCAATGGATTAAAACCAAATATGTCCCTGAGGATTCAAACATTTTATTGGCATACCTATTTCCAGAATGTTTTATCATGTTTCTGAAATGGGACAGGGAAAACAAAGACACCATTAAGATATGGTGTACACAAACAGAAATGTGGACTGAAACTATTGGACATCAGTTATGGTTGGAAAAAGTTTACTGGGAGCTAGGACAAGAATAACTTCAGCTATCTGCTAGTTTAATAATTTGAGATGTTTAACTATAATGAATTCTTGAATGGAGTATCGCAAATCGAAATGAATTGGCAGCAATGGCCTCAAATCGGTGCCGGGTGGGAGAGCCTCGTTCCACGGGTGCCTCCCTGAGCTGCTTTGAGTGTCAGTGCCTCTACGTGGTTCAGCACCTGGGTACTGCACAAACCTGGGGGGCTTGGGCTTGCATGGCCCTTGCAGCAGAATGGCTGGAGAATAAGACCTCTCCTAACATTCAGGTTAGGCCAAGGCTGTCTGTAGTCCTGCAAGTAGCTTTTAGGAAAATGAGAGGGCAAGGGCCACCATATGTCAAAACGCTGTTATTGAAGTAAGTAGTTCTATGCTAGGGTATTTTTGTAGTTATTCTTTTGCAAGTGTTGCCTCTGTATTAACTTGGTTTGATTTCTGATCATAAGCATTGCCCTCCAAGGGAAAAGTCTTGCTGACTGTTGATATGTTGTGTTTTCTGTTGAGTTGTTCCATCACGAACAGGATGGAACAGGAAAGGCATTCCAGGAAAGGCTGGAATGCCCCCTGTCCTCCAAGACACATTCAAGTAGGAATTTGGGGCACACTCTGTTTTATTATTTTCATCACCTTCACTTTCCGATCTTTTCTCTGCATTGTTTTTTTACCATGCTCGTGCTTGGGTGGAAATTGTCTATTGTTGTTCCCACTTATTTATTTTATTGCTTTTCTTATTTCAGAATCTCTCTTTATGCTGGACACAGCCTCTGCTGTGCTTTCAATTAAGGAAAAATGAGTTGGTTCACATTGATACTCCTTTATGATTTAGGGCCAGTAACAGATAGAGAATCCTTCTTCAAAAGTAGTTTTTATATAATCAGCTGTGATGGTTTAATGAAAAGACCCAGAAACTTTCTAGGCATTTTCCTGTTACCATGAATAGTGATGCATTTTCTGTAAGGGTACTATTAGATTTTGGCTAGAAAATTGCATGGTTGTTACCTTCCCTGTTACTGTTCATCACCTTTCACAAAAAAGGCCTAGCTGGTAAAATCTTGTTGTTTTTGTTGGAATACAACCTCTCATTTAAAATATTGCTGTGACCTCTTGTTCTCCAGCTTTATTCAGAGCTTTTACAATGACACTGAAGAAACCCCAGAGCGTGGTTTTGTCAGATTGTTATCCCTGCAAAGACACCTATAGGGGTAGCCTACTTTCTTTGTGGCAGTAACCAAACACATATGTTGACAATGGAACTAATTTCTTTCTTTTTCAAAACTTCAGTGTGCTTTGAGAAATTTTGTGTATCGCTTGTTAATAAATTTTATGATGAACAGGCATGTGTGTATGTGTGAAAAAAAAAAGAGGGGAATAATATCCTACAGTATTCAAAAGTTTCAGTATAGTGACTGTCCTAGACCACTTTTGGACTCCTTTATGTATGATGTAGTATTTTAGCATTATAATAAGACAACAGCCAATTTCTTTAGGTGTTCTTTTAGAAGCCCTCATTTTCTCACTATCCGTGGATTCAGAGATAATACAAACAAGGATGCTAGCACAGACTGTTTCACCATTTAGCCTTTCACAGCACATGGCACTTGTTAATAGCATCCTGTTGATCTTTGTCCTCTGTATAGGGCTCTGTAAAAAGCTGTTAGGAAACAGTTTTAGAGCTGGGAACTGATGAAGGCATAGGATGCTGCTGTGTCTTTGTTTCAACTGCAGATTTTATGGAAGTATTAAAGGATTATTTTTTATCTCTGGCTAAATCTCAGGTTTCATTCCCCAATGCTAACAAAATAACACCTTTCTTTAGTATAATACATACATGCCTTCACAAATATTTTAAAAAGAGTCATCCATCATGTGTTGTAACAGAAAATTAACCATCAAGAAGCAAACTTCCTAGCTTATTCTCCAAGGGTGGAATTCAATTATGCAGAGGAATCAAACAAGGTTTATGTACCATCCTAGTACATAAGGATGTATGTTTGTGCTGACTTTTTACACACAGGTAAACTCTACCACAAGGAAACAATTTTTGGTGGTGTCAGAGTACCACATTCAATTAAATTTTGTCTGTAGGACCCCTTTCAGTATTGTGTATGGAAGACAGAAGATTTGCAGAGTGGATTTTTATGCCCACTGGGCCTGGCTGATGCCCAGCTGAAGTCAGGGGAACTTTAGCAACTCCTTCCAAAATCAACACAATGGCTCCTTCACTCACTCCCTATTTCTCTTGCTAAGCCAGTGTTCTGATATTTTCAGGCACTCATGCTCTCCAGCTTGGAATCCCCACAAGGTTGGGTTTCATAACAAAAGGCAACCCTCATTCTTTTAAATCTGAATAGACAGAAGAGAGCAAGGTGAGTAACATATTTTCCTTGCTAATCTTGTTGGGATGCTGAAAGTGTGCCAAAGATTTCTTGAGGTTTTCATGGATAAGGTGTGAATGAAGACTGCAGCAGTTTGAAGTGGTGTGAAGCAAAGTGGTGTGTTGGTTTTGTAGGTTTTTCTTCTTAATTCACTGGAAAGCAGCACTACCCTAGTACCACTCCCTCAGCTATTTGCATTTTAGCAGTGAGTGTCACCTACTTAAA